CCTCCCACCTGCTGCGCCCACTCCCGCACCCCGCCGGCATGGAGCCTGTGAAGGGGAAGGGGGCAAAGCGCAGAGACTTCTCCTCCAGCTCCCACCTTGGCGTCTGAGGGAGGCTCCGCCACCGAGACCGGTGTCGTCTTAAGCGCCTGCAGGTCAGGGTCAGCTTCGCTCTTGCGCTGGGTTGTCACTGCTGGAGAGGCAGGGTTTATTCGGCGTACCTGCTCGGCTGGCTAAAATCTGGGCATGGAGGGCCGACAGGGCTGCTAGTTCCTCTCAAGGATGGGGAAAGTATTTCGTTTTTCTGTTCTTTTATTATGTCCAGATAGTTTCAGATGAGGAAATGTCTACTTAGGCTGTTGGTTGAAAGTTTTCATATGGCAAAGGTTTTAATTTGAAGAAAACATAAGCAATGCTTCAAGATCAGTTTGCAAGACTATTTTTTTTTTTTTTTTTGAGGTGGGACACCGTGACATACCATCTGTGTCCAAAACCAGGACTTGTCAATATTTAAAATAGATGGTCACTCTTCAAAGTTAGGTTTTTGGGGTTTTTCTTGTTTTTTTGTTTTTTTGTTTTTTGTTTTTTTTTAAAGCACTGGAGAACCAGGATTTAAATGGTTAACTGTTTTCCTCTGGTGTTAGAATAAAGAACGGTTCTTGAGATATTCATTGTTAAACTGTTTGGCTATATTTTATTATAGTGCAGTATAGTATTATTGTTGGTAACTGATGTGTACAGAGTAACACTGTGGTGCTCCTTCTAGGTATAATTGAAGACATTGTGTGGTCCTTGTAAGAAGCTTGGTTCCTGCTTGGGTTTTAATTGTAAAATATTGTTCTGGATTTTTGTATAGGTAATTGGATTTTGGAGCCACTTTAAGATACGATAAAGGCAAAACAAATACTAACCAATTTAGAGGGCAGTACTTGAAACTTTTGCATATCTGAGTGTGGAAGTTAGTGATTTACAAGTTCTCATCTTCTGGGTCTTTTACTGGGTTTCCATTTAAATTCTTAAGTCTGCGTTTCTACTTTGTAGTTAATGATCCTTTAAAGTAATATTTGCAATCAAGTAGACTTCTTGGATGCTGGCATTGTTTGATTATATTATGCATGCCTCTGTCCCACAAGCTACTCTTGGTAATATTTAGAATTTGAAATGTAGTCTATGTAATTTTTTACATATTTAAAAAAGAAAAAACTGTCACAGCATTGCTTTTGTAGTATTGAGCCTTAAAATAAGAATTGCAGTAGTGTACACAAGTATGACACACACTAAAATACTGGAGAGAGATATTTTTATTTGTGCTGTTGAAGTTTTTGGTAGCACTAACTCATTTAATGTCTAACCTCAAACATTTTATTGCTATTTAGTGTTTTTCTTGGGACCATTGGTATTAAACTAAAATTTCCTATTTACATCATGTAAAGTTTAATGTGTAAAGAGACTAGCCTACCAAAATATTATCCAGTTTTAAACAAAATTGGAGAATTATATGTCTGTCATCAGCAGGTCACATTACACTTGCTAAATACTTGCAGGCTTTTTTTTCTTTTTAATGTAAGATTTTCAGTAGCTTGATGTGAAAAGAAGAGCCACTTCAAGTGGCTGAAATGTCATCACTTTAAAGGCCATGATCTAACCAGAAGATGGCCTGGGAAGCCTTAGTTAGTGGGTATAATACCTAGACTTTCTAGAGCCACAAGTTAATATGCGTGGACCTAGAACAGAATCCCTTTAAGCTCTCTGCAGAAGTAGGCAGGACAGACCAAGGGAAGTGCATTCAGCTGACCGGCGCCCGCGCTCCGCCCCAGATGTGACTCCTTTTTTTAATGGCTGATGCATGACTTGCTTGTGTGCAGTGCTGTGGGATCCTGCAGGCTTGAAAGGCTGCTGGAGAGAGCATGAGATGTGTTGCAATAGTGAATCCTCTCTTTGTTGCTCCAGGATTTCAGATGTGTTCTAAGCCTGCCGGGGTGAGCACGCTTCCGGGCACTGATGGAGACGAGAGCTCAGCACGGCAGCGGGTCGCAGCCCTTGCTACAGGCTCGGCGTGACAGTGGGAGACCGCACGGGGAGCCTGACCTGCGGGATGTCCTGATGCAGCAGGTTCACGTCTTGTCGCTGGACCAGATCAGAGCCATCCGAAACACGAATGAGTACACGGAGGGACCTACGGTGGCTCCACGGCCAGGGGTCAAGTCTGCTCCTCGGCTAGCAACCCAACCCAAAAATGAAAGGCCCCATGGCTTGCCCGAGCATCGTCATTTTAGCCGGATTCAGCACACACAAACACACGCCTCTCCTCGGGCACCTCTGTCCCGATCCATTAGCACGGCCAGCACAGGTTCGCGGAGCAGTACAAGGACAAGTACGAGCAGTAATTCATCCGAACACAGACTTCTAGGATCATCTTCGGGGCCAGTTGCTGACGGGATAGTCCGAATGCAGCCCAAGTCTGAGCTCAAGTCAAGTGAGCTGAAGCCGCTGAGCAAAGAAGACTTGGGAGCGCACAGCTACAGGTGTGAGGACTGTGGAAAGTGTAAGTGTAAGGAGTGCACTTATCCGAGGACCCTCCCCTCGTGTTGGATCTGTGACAAGCAGTGTCTTTGCTCGGCCCAGAACGTGGTCGATTACGGGACTTGCGTTTGCTGCGTGAAGGGCCTCTTCTATCACTGCTCTAATGATGACGAGGACAACTGTGCTGACAACCCCTGCTCCTGCAGTCAGTCACATTGCTGCACTAGATGGTCCACCATGGGTGTGATGTCCCTCTTTCTGCCTTGCTTGTGGTGTTACCTACCAGCCAAGGGTTGCCTTAAGTTGTGCCAGGGCTGTTACGATCGGGTTAATCGGCCTGGGTGCCGCTGTAAACACTCCAACACCGTTTGCTGCAAAGTTCCCAGCGTTCCCCCCAGGAACTTTGAAAAGCCAACATAGCATCACTAGTCAGAAATACTAAAGTAACAAGGATTATTTTAACGTACATATGCAACCAACTAAGCAGCTATGGTCTTGGCACTGCAGTACAAGGGTTGGGGATACACTTTGGTGTTTGCAGTGAAATGCTTTTTCTTTGTGTGTGCCATCTTAACTGATACGCTTGTTAGAATCCAGCTAGTGGGATACAGGAGAGAAAAAAAAAAAAGGGATGCAGTACATCGTGACCCACATATTGCATAAGCTAAAGCAACACAGACACTCCTAGGCAACTCTATTGTTTGTGAATAGTACTTGCAAAATTTGTAAATTAGCAAATGACTCCTTTTTTTCATTGTTTTCTGCCAGAGATAATGTGCTATATTTTTGTACATACAATAATATTTTCAACTGTGAAAAATACGTGGTGTCATAAGACATGGCACAGTCACAAAATATTATACTAATATGTTGTACATTCGGAAGAATGTGAATCAATCAGTATGTTTTTAGATTGTATTTTGTCTTACGGAAGCCTTCTATTGCAAGACTCTGATTTCCCTTTGGACTTCATGTATATTGTACAGTTACAGTAAAATTCAGCCTTTATTTTCTAATTTTTTCAACATATTGTTTAGTGTAAAGAATATTTATTTGAAGTTTTATTATTTTATAAAAAGAAATATTTATTTTAAGAGGCATCTTACAAATGTCACCCCTTTTTATGAGGACGTCATAGTTGCTGCAAATAAGGGGTGAACGATGCACATGTTCACTATAAAATAGAAAATATATTAACGTTTGAAATTAAACTGGGCTACTTGTCATTTTTTCCCCCTATTTATCGTTCTGAGTTGGTTTAAATTGCAAATGTCACAGTGATATAGTCACAGTGAGTCTAATACAAAAATGAAAATAGAATTTTTAAGTGTGGTTTTTTGTTGTATTTTGCTACTTCACTTGAAAATAATGCAGGATTTTTGCTTCCGTCCTTTGCACAAATGTCCCATATACTGTTCCTACAACAGAAAAGGAAAATGAACATAGGAAAATGCATTAATTCATTCCAGACTAGGACTAATAGGCACTGAAAGCTTGACCTATTCTGTAAGTGATGAGCTTTTGTGCTTCAAATAGGAAATAAGTAATCATTCACAAAAAATGTTAGGCTTGCATGGCTTTACTCAGAGAGAGGGGAAAAAAAAAAAAAGAAAATTAATATGGTCAGTGCAAAAAGCTTGCAGGATTATTTGTTAAAAGTAGAAGAATATGCCACAGGGAATGATGGATCTGAATGCAGTCCAGCCTTATGTCAAACATTTGCCTCACTTGTAAGAAGAAAGTTGCTTGATTTGTCATTTGTGGCAGTTACCTTCCACTGAGGTCAAAATCCTTTTGCTGCCAAGTTTCCCACCGGAAGCCTAGAGAATGATTTACCTTTCTTTATTAACAAACTATAATTTCCTGTTCTGAGCATGTCTCTCCAAGTTTAGAGGTCTTAATGTTGGATTTTATTTATGCATTTCTTAAGCTGGCATTTAAGAAATAGTTGTAAGTATTTTTAAGCTTACGCTTAGAAAAATCTCACAGCCTTTTCTGAACCCTCTCCAACAAAAACAAGTTATAACTAATAAATTAAGAACTCACTAAAAGCTGAAAACCAGAGCATTGAGTAAACATTCTATCTTTTTGCCCCTTAATTTTAATCTGTGATCTGCTGTTTGGACTATTTTACATAGGTCTGTAGTACTCAAAAACCTTTCTTATGCTCTGTGTTTATGTGTATTGGTTATCAATCATCAAGTGAAATTAAAAAGTGCAAGTCCTGACTAGTTTGCAAAACAAAAATAACTGATACACAGGCCTTGTTCTTGTTCTTTTTTTTCCCCCTTACCTTTCTGGTGAAAAATGTAAGCTGTTTTTTTTTCCTCTCTGCACCAGCTGGCTGGATACTTTGGTATACAAAGATAAGCAGTATATATTTAGCCTTCTGAGTGGAATTGGCCAGGAAGAAGGTGGCTTATGTTACAAGAGTAATTTGTCCATATTTAAAGTGTGTCAGTATATTGTGACCAACTGTTGGGCCATATATGTGAGATGATACTTGGCTGCTGATAAATAGAGATAGTTTTTTTGTTTGGTTGGGGTTTTTTTAGAAATTTTGTTCTTGAAGGGATTGGTAACTATCATGTGTTTCCATTCACTGAATATAATTCTTAAATTAGATTAGGTGCTTATGCCTAAACTGGCCTGGGTTAATCTTGCTGATTGAAAACAAACATGGGAATAATCCAGTAGTCCATTTATTGAGGGGATCTTTGACCTTTAGTCTATATTTTGGAAACCCGAAAACCCACTGATTTCAGTAGACAGTAAATTCAGTCTTTTTACTGTATTGATGAACTTGACAATACTGAAAGTGAGCCCTGTCTTTTCAGTAATTTATGTTTTCGGTCAAGGAAGGTCTCTTTAAGGAAAGCTGAAAGGTGAAGCTGCAGTATGGTTGATCAGTGCAGCAGTCAAGGAGGATGTAACTCGTAAGTCCTACTAGATAGTGTCCAATACTAAAATTGTGGGTTTTGTTTTGCACTATAGCAAATGCTTTGACTACCTAGATAGGTTCTAAGGGGAAAGGAAAACCATCTTCTTGTCAATAGTGAAATTTGAAGCTGGTCTTAACATTAAAAACCACTTGTCACCTTCCTCTTGGTTCTTAATGAGGATCAATAGTGGATCCCCCCCACCCCAGGTAAGCCCACTACCAGTGAATTGGGTGGCATGTGTGACACTTGGGAATGAGGACATATGGGAGGATGGCATTGGGCACTGCCTGTTGGGCTAACGGCGGTGCTGGGGTTTGGGCTTCAGTTAGTCTGAATTAGCATGTGTGTGCAGTGGACTCCTAAAAGTTGGCTTGTGCATGTTAGTTAACATCCTAATATTACACTTAATTAGGTAAGGTTTACTATTCTAAATAAAACCAGAATCTTGTCTCAAACACATTAGACTGTTTTAGTAAGAATTGAGTGTTTCATGAAAGTGGAGGTCCAAGAAAGGAAAATTTTCCATACACAGGTTTTGAGGTTAACAGCAAAAGTCATGCCAGATAGGCACCATATAGAACTTCAATTTTAGACAGCCATTAAGCCATGAGAGAGGAGAAAACCCTTATTATTGCTCCATTTGTTGTGTTTTTACTTTAGTGTTTTTAGTGTTAACCTCCTATAAATTCTGATGTCACTGTAAGGTTTGCTTAGAGACCTGCAGGATTGGACTGACAGTTGACTATAATAACAATGGAAACAAATAGCTTTTTGCAAATTTTTTTTCCATATGATGTGAGCTACAAATAAATGCATCAAATTTGCTTGTACAGTAACTTAGGAATGTTTCTATTTGTATCCTCAAGCAATTTTTTATTTTGCTCTTTAATGATTTGAGGCTTGATTATAATTTCTTTTTTGAGATAGTGATCATAGCAGTAAAAAAAAAAAAAGAAAAGAAACCTGGATTTGAGTGGAGAATAAAAAGGTATAGTACTGTAGATGGAAATAAAACATGTTCTTAAAGGATTCAAGATCGTATTCAGGTGAGTATTTTCAAATTCAAATGTGTTACCAAATCAGTGCAGTAGTTAAGTGGTCGTGGTGATTAACACAATAGCTTTTTTAAACTTTCTTACAAAACTATCAGCTTGTGTGAGTTGGCAGTGACTTGACAGTAGCAATGTACTGATCACTTACAGCACCATGCATAGCTTGCCTTTTTGTTTTTATTTTTTATGTACAGTATTACCTTTTTCACCTGTGGCAAAATAGAAAATAATTCAGTCACTTTTGTGATCAGTGAAATATTAAGGCTTGTTCTTAAATGGCAAGAAGGGAATAGAATGCATTTCTGTACTGCAGTAGAACATTCAATTATTTTTAGGAATTAACTGTTGGGGAAGACAGATTTGAACAGTCTGTCTCGTCTCAGATGTTCCTAGATGGGTGCAGGTACAGCGAGTAATAATGATCTCATTTGCTGAAACTAATTTCTCAATCAGTCACTGGAGCAGAGACCCAGAAAGAAATTGGCAGAATATGGGAGCACGCTTGATTGAGTAATGTCTGTATGAATAGTATTTGGATAGGTTTCTTACTGAAAATGTCAGCAGCATATTGGCTCATCTGAAGTAAATCAATTGTAGTTTGGGGTTGCAGGTAGACTGTGATGTGACAAAGCACACCAAATCCTTACCAGTGAAAATACTCAGTTGTATTCCTCTTTACACAGTCTGATTTTAAACTGGAAATTTAGAAATAAAAATTGGTGTCTTGTTGAAATCAGGACAGTTTGGCATGGAAACTGTGTGCATATATACAGTGCTTTCCCTTTTAAAAATACTGCCTGTTTCAATCTGAGGAGACCCTCTATATGGTAATCTTATTTATTTCTGTTCATAGTTCTTCTTTCTGGTCCCTGTAGCTCCCCTTGACCTTTCCTAGCCGTAATACATAAAGGTTTACTGCCACTTACTAGGACAAAAAGTGAAAGAAGAGGATGAAGCATGCTTTTCTCATTCGTATTCTCTGTCTTAAAAAGTTTAAGACAAGGTGGAAAAAATGATTACCTTGCTGTACTTTTGCATTTTAAAGAGATACAAAGTGTTTTTCCATTCATATGCTGTTGAAATCCACAGTTCCAGAAAACATCTTACTTTAATTTTTCTAGTGTGATCTTTATTACTTGAGAAGGCTTTATGTGTCTTTAAAGAGTTCCCTTTTGTTTTAACCTATTGGCACTGTGTTTCAGATGACAGAGATGGAGGTCTTACTACTATAAAAGCATCATCTGCTGTTCCTCTGTCCCAGGGATTGTTTGGAAGAGAGCTGATGCAGTGACCTTTGGGCATGAGTAGCAACGATTTCACTTGAAACAGGCTGGGAGTTCAGTGTTTTCAACCTTGGGAAAAGGCAACAGATGACGTACTATATATTTAAAGTTTCTCTTTGCCTGTGCTGTAGGAAACTTTTTTTTTTTTTTCGCTCTGACTCAAATCCTGCATGCTGATTAGAGAAGTATATGACTAAAATGTTCAAACTTAGACTAAACTGGATTGGTTCCCATTTCAGTAGAAGTTACCAATAATCAGAAGCTTTGACAATGTGGCCTACTATTATATAGGATTATTTATGGATATTTTAATACTTAGGAATTTAAATTACATTTTAAAACAATCTTGCCAAGGAAGATAATCTATTTTAAAAGTGTAACTAACTGTATGATCAGAGTAACTCTGCTGTGCTGAAAGCCTGCTGTGTAATTACAAAACCACTCGGTGCACCTGAGATGCGTTACAAGAGATGGCACTTCTTACAAGTCAGATGTTGCAGGCACTAGTTTCTTGGAGAGTCTGAGCCAGTACACAAGGGTGTATCAGGATGAATCACCAACTCATGGACATAGAGTGCACCTTGAACAAAGTGGGGTTGTTTATTTGTTTTGTTTTGTTTTTTTTTTTCTCCCCACCCTAATTTTATTTTGATCAAGAAGTAGTGTGAATGAATCAATCATAAATCCCATGGTTGTCAATATGATTACTGATAAAAGACTATCTTGATGCTCTTTCAGTGTGTCTTAAAAAGACACTGAAATGGAAAATTTCTAATGACCTTTCAACTTTAACATTGTAATCTTCAGAAATTAAGTGAAACAGGGATATAGCAATCTGTGTTTCAAAACTAGTTGCACTGTAAGTAAAATGCACTAATACTTAAAACTTTTACTTTGATTAGAGATAGACAGTTCTACTCTAGGGCAATTCAGA